GGCTGGGGGAAGAGAAGGAAATATAGCCGATAATCACAGCACAAGCTCCCATCAGTTCAGCACCTAGAAGCATATGAACCTCTGTATGATTGCTTCCTGTTTTATAATCATCTATTGTTTTCTATGCAAAAGTTCAAAATGAAAAACAATGATTCACAATGTGTGGGTGTGCCTTCTTCGTTACATTTCTTTAGCATCTGATACATGTTTTTATACAAATGTTTATAAATTATCCTCTAACTAAAATAATTTATAAAATATAACACAAAATAACAAAAAGAGAGATCACATTCTTTTTTAAAAGCATATTGAGATAAAATCGGTATGCAATAAAATTCACCCACTGATTTTTAGTGTATTCTGAGTTATGCAATTATTGTCACAATAATAGCTTAGAACATTTTAAGGTTATATACAATTTAAGGTTCAAATAATTTTCAAAACACTAGAATTGAGGCAAAGTGAAAATAAAAGTGATATATCTAATCCTAGAAAGGAGAGTAGAAACCCTAAGACTGAATGGTCCTTTGGGGGAGGAAGCATAGAAGTAGAACAACCATGGCCATTCTGTGGATAAATCCCACAACAGCAACCACATCTTTGGACCAGGAGTGCATGTGGGACTCCGAGGGACAATCACAGAGGTGGGGAAGAGCCAGAAGAGACGTATGCCCACGTCAAGTAAGGGGGAAACTCGCAGAATACCTTTACTGAACATGAGCTTAATTTTGTCTTTCTAGAGAACTCAACAGCTATTTGGATAGGAGACTCAGTCACTTACAGAACTCCAGTCATAAATGTTCTAAAGGAGTTACCACTTTCACTTGTCTCTGGCTCTGAGAAAATCTTCAAAAACTAACTTACAAAATATTAGCACAGTCACGTCTCAGATAACATGCCTGGCCCCGGCTGGATGGACACCTGGAGAAGCACAGGCAGTAGCATGAACATGGATGGACCCAGAATGTATCTAGGGAAGACTGCTGACTCAGCAGGGTGGTAGTAGTGGGAAACACCATCAAAGAAGCAAGATGCAGATGAACTACACCAGCAAGAGGGCTCTAGCTTACGTGGATCTGCAGACAACACCGGCAAATAAACTGACTTTTCAAACAGCCATTGGCAGGTTTCCTCCCATTTACATGTGTTCATACAAAATCAAAGTGAGAGAAAATACACCTACCACCAAACCTGGATTCCCATGCCTGGAAGGATATCAAACTGATTCTCTGAGTAAGTTAGGAGGGACTGTAGCTTCATAATCACTAGTTATGAATGTTTTACCCATGCTCCATCAGTTGATAATCTGTTTAACTCCTGGATAAGGTCTATCAAGTGCAGCCATACTGAAAGATCTCTAGACTGTGTGCTCAGTATCAGATTCCTTTTTTAGATTTACCTTTCTAATTTTTAAAAATTGAAACATATTAGATATACATATTTTCAAGGTATATGTAATAATTGGATACATTAATATAATCAAATCAGGGTAATAGAGAAATCCATTCCCTAAAATATTTATGTTTTCTTTACTCCAGGAATATCTGAATTATTCTATTCTAGCTATTTTCAAACGTTCAATCAATTAATGTTAACTAGCATTGCCATATTGATCCATTGAACACCAAGTCTCACTTTTAGCTATGTCTATATCTGTACCCGTTAATCAGTCTCTCTTTATCCCTCCCACCTCAGTATCAGTTTTAATATCAAATGTGATGAATGTCCCTGGTTTGCCTTGACGTAACTACTAGGGCTAGACATAAATAAGAGACCAGATAAATATCAGCCTTTTGAATTTGAAAAGTCAAAATCTCTAACCTTTAACATTTCTACTTGTTGGAAGTTGTTCAGCTCTTAGAGGGTTGAATTAAAATGTATATTATTATACCTTCCAGTATACAATGTATTAGACATAAAGACCGTATGCTAGATCATTTTAAAAAATCCCTTAAAACTAAATATCCATTTAGTTTAATTAAAATCTGAATAAAGAAGATATATCCTTCAAAACATAATAATTAAATGGTGCTGTAAGAGTAAATGAAAAGAGCCACAAGTTAGTAGAGACATGAAATTTGTAATTTATAGAGGTTGTTCAGTTAAAATTGTCAAGCCAGTCTAAACAAGCTGAAATGCTGCCTGGGAATGCACCTTTCAGTCTACCTGTTTTGGTACCTGCCCTGAGTCACTGCATATGATTTGGAGCAGGGTTTCTGTAGGACCCCAGGTTTCTGCTGGAAAGTACCTTCACCCACTATGAAGTCCTCCTCCTCTTGAGTTTAACAAACAACCCAATTAGTGAGAGAGGGAAACTGCCAGAGTTCTGCATGTGGCATCTTTACCCACAATCCCAACTTGTGGCTCACATTAGCAGTATCTTGATGTACAACACAATTCAATTTGTACATAGGCAGTATATTAAAACAAAAGCCAAAGATCAGGTTTATGAAACAATAAAGCGAATCTCTGCAAGATGCATTTGCCAAATGGCATGTGGTGTATCACTATTTCAATCAGATCTGCAGATCAGACAGGGTCAGATGGTCTGGAATCTCTGTAGCAGCTGAGTCCTGAGCTAATCTCACCACAGGGTGGGGGTGAGGGGGTTGGGAGCAGCAGTCCAGTTATGCTCTCATTCAAAACAGACTTCTGCAAGCAAGTTTCTAGAAACTTTCAAATAATGGTTTTAAATAGTGGTAGAAGTTGCTTGTAGCTATGGACTGAATGTTTGTGTCCCCCCGCAAGATTCATATGTTGAAGCCCTAATTCCCCATGAAATGTAATTAGGAGGCAGGGCTTTGGGGAGGTGATTAGGTCATAAGGATGGAGCCCTTATGAATGGTATGAGTGCCCTTATAAGAAGAGACATAGGAGAGAAGATAGCTCTTCATTCTGTGAGGATGCAACATGCAGGCAGCCATCTGCAAACCTGCAGCAGGAACGTCACCAGGAAATTAGTCATCAGCCACCACGATCTTAGATTTCCAGCCTTCAGAACCATGAGAAATAAATGTCTGTTGTGTAAGTCACCAGTCTATGGTAAATTGTTATAGCCACTGCCTAAGGCACTCATCAAAGTAAAAATAGGAAAGTTTCATCAGAAATCCTTAGAAGTTCACCATAGATCATTATAAATACAAGAGAAGCAAATGTCACCTACTCAGCCTCACGTGGGGAGCACGTCCAAAGGCTCGAGTTGAGACCTCAGGCTGCTCTGCACTGACCCACTACTCAAGAATAGCCTCAGCCCCTGTCAAAATCCCTCCCACTCCCAAGGTACTAATGAGGTCCTCAATGGCCTTGTAGAATTGGAAGAAGATGGCCCTGTTCTCTGTGTCATCAACCTGGACATTTATGGTGAAAAACTAGGAACACTTCAGAAAGATCCAGTTCATTCATCCCACAAACCTATTCCATTTCTGGCACCCAGGGGACATTAAGGAAATAAATGGCAGAATAAAGAGAAACAATCCTGTCTGCAGTCTCATAAACAAGAAGACAATGCAATAGTAATTCCTTTCCTTCTCTTAAAACAAAAATCAAGAAAAACCCTTTCCTTGACCTCCCATACCTTCCAGATAGCTCATCAATCCTCCACTCCCCTTCCCTGAAAAGCTTCCAGAGGAGATGCCCTAAGCAGCTGGTTCTGTCTGACTTCTGCCAGCACTCTTCCTCCTGCCCACTTCCTCCTCTTCCCACAGACTGACCCTGAGAGGCAGCTGTGGCCTCCACCTGGTCATCCAGTGGTCATATCTGTCCTTACCTTTCCTGATCACTCAGTGGCACTGCCTGCAGCTGGCCAGTTCCATATCTGGCTCATTGGTTGTTTCCCTTATGGGTATAGGGCTGGCCCCTCCTGCTCAGTCCCTGATCAGCTTAATCTTCATCTCCTGGCAGAGTTCAATGTTGACCAGCAAATACAGAAGCCTGCCTGGCACCCGCGGCCACAGCCCTCTCTGTGCACCTGCTGTGTCTGCTCGCCATCACCTCCCTGGTGTCTTCTTGACTGGTCTATTTATTATCTGCTGTGCCCACTAGAATGTAAGGTCCAACAGGGCAGGTGATGCCTGTGTGTTCACCAGTTTACTCCCCAGTGCTTCAAATGAACTCCACAAATAGTAAAGGTTCAGTAGATAATAGCAACTTCATGGGAAGAAAAGAAACCCTAACTGGTAAAGACGTAATTAGAAATTGAGAAGTTCTTTCAAGAAAAAAAATATATTATCAGTAACAAAAAACAGAAATTATGCTCCATGAGAAATGACAATTATACAAAACACTGGACAAAGAATGGAGAGGGGCAGACTCCACCATGAGATAGCTCTGTCTGGGGACCTGAAGGCAGCAGAGAGAGGGACATGTCCTCAGGGCTGAGCCAGGTCTCTAAGCTGGCCTTGCACACCCGGAGCCGTCTGTGTATTAAACGGAGATGGAATATGCTTTCTGCATTCTAGTTACTTTGGAAACTGAAGAGGTCTACTTGTTATTTGTAATTTGATAAGTATGGTTGCCTACATTTGCTGTGAATGTTCCATTATTTATGCCCCAAAACATATTTTTTGAACACTTCCATGTACCACCATCCACGCAAATATTTTGCTGAAGGCACTGTTTCTGAACAAATGAGAAATCACCAGGACAATCCTAAGAAAATATTTCACCCAGCAATGTCCTCCAACGAAGCACACCATTGTCTTAAATTACCCAAATCCAAATGGTCTTGCCAAAAAGACTTATTTTATGAATAGTTGAGAAATAATAGTAAAGAAGCCATTGTCTTTCCAATTAAAGTTATGACTAATAGAGTGAAAATAGATTGAGATTTCCCAAATGACGCATAGCAGCTGAGGAAGATAAGTGAGCATCGTGGGTTTTGCTAGTCGCAAAAAGAGAGCAGACGTAAAGCTTGAAATTGAAACTGCGTGTTTAGAATCTAAATCTAAAACACAAAATCAGAAGATGATAGAAAACCCCTCAGAGGAGGGCAGAGCTCCTACCTGTGGCCAAATAGATGATGTGGACGAGCGCGTCTCTGCCCTGCACCACGTCGACAGCCACGTGGGAAAAGCGGCTGTTGTCCTCCATGAAGGACGGCATGGTGGTCACTGGCTGCACCACCTCATGCATCAGAATGAACTTCTGAGCATCCTGCAGGTTTCTCTCGGTCAGGTTCACATACAGGCCCTGGTCCACGGTGCCACACTGCAAGGGAAGACAGGCCGTGTTACCAGAGCCACCATACTGGACACCCACAGCTGGCTGTGGCCACCCTAGCTGGAGAGTAACTTGGAAATCAGGTAAGCCACAATGTATAACTGAAGTGTGCAAATATGTCTGCTTCTCTGTTCTCCCTGCAGCCCCCATCCTTAGCATCCTTTTCATGTTAGATTTGAACTCATATCTTGGGAGTCTCCTAACCTCGTCATAAAGGAACTGATCAGAAGCTAAAAAAATTAAAGTGATTGCTAACTTGAAGCTGCAGATGCACAGAAACTTCTCCTTTTCTGTTGAGTCACCTGACAGCTGTCTGGCTAAACACATACTATGATATCTATCTGAGATACCAGGTAGTGAATTGAAAATGCAACAATTAAGGCCCTCATATAGACGCATTAGTTTTTCTACTGTAGCAGGGGGTCTACAAGCAAGGCATGGATTTCAAGGCGATAGCACTGGGTCGTTCTAATCTGTAAAGCTGAACAGCATTCACATGGGATACAAAAATATGGTATTGGCCTTATTGCTTTGTGCTTGTATTTCAAATTAGAGGAAATTATTTTAAAATGGTTAGAGTCCAGGAATACGGAAAAGAACATGGCAAATTTCTAAGAAGAGAGAGAGATGAGGAGATAAGGGAAATGAGGAAGGAAAAGAGATGAGTGGGGAGAAGAGAGTAGAAAGGAATAAAGATGGGAGAAGGAAAGAATGAGATTTTGAGTTAGAGTGAGTATCATGGAGATGAATTTGGTATATATACACAAGGGAAAAATCAGGCCCGCATGCTGCTGGGAATTAAATTCTGAGCTGTGGGGAGGCTGCGGGTGTCATATTATCAGACTGTTTCTGTCAAGGATGGGGTAAAAAGAGGATAGAAAGGAAAGTAAGCTCAGAATCAGAAAACTACTACCAACCCTTCTCACGTCTTTCATAAACTTTAATTCAGGCGTCCCCAAACTTTTTACACAGGGGGCCAGTTCACTATCCCTCAGACCGTTGGAGGGCCGCCACATACTGTGCTCCTCTCACTGACCACCAATGAAAGAGGTGCCCCTTCCTGAAGTGCGGCAGGGGGCCGGATAAATGGCCTCAAGAGGCCGCATGCAGCCCGCGGGGCCGTCGTTTGGGGACGCCTGCTTTAATTCCTGGTACAAATGGTGACTGATCCCCAGTAGAACCTCACATAAGTAGGTTTGATGGAAATGAATTTCCAGGCCTTTATCACCTGAAACTAAGGTTTATAACATGTCATGTCTAATGTTTGGTTTTATAACAGGTGAGAGGTGCTGATGTGTAAGATGAAAATCGCTTTTTTAAAAGTAGATGATGATTTTGTAGCATTTGATAAAATGATCCACGTGCCATGAAATGACAGGATGATTGCAGAAAAAGAGACTCTGAGAGTCAAATGGATTTCATGCATCCAGTCCCATGCTTCATTTAGTATCATACCCTTGCAGGGGCACCCCATGTTCCACAGGCAAGGACTGTGTGAGTTCAGGTGCGGGGCTCAGACCTGCCGTGACCCAAGTACTACTCTGGCTCCATAACTCTCAAGCCACGTGGAATCGTGAGCAGCAACTGTCCTGCCACATAGTCTCAGGTGAGGTCTCACCTCTCAGTCTCTGTCTCTTTACCTGTCCAGTGACTGGGAAGATACTGACTCCGCTCATTTCTCAGGGCTACTGTGACACCAGCTGAGATAATCCATGGAAAGCACTTGTAAATTAACTGAAAGTCCTTATGAGTGCCAAAGAACAAGACAGCTTGGTGCCTGGCACTAAAGAGAAGCCATTCAACTAACGGTAAATGGCAAATGCATCAGTCTTGGAGCAGGACTGCAATTCCATGGTCTGTTGAGCTTCAGTGGCCAGAGGGAAATAAGTGAATAAACAAAGGGAAGGAATCAATGAGTGAATACACAAGCAGATGCTATTGGGGGTGAGGGGGTGTGCTAGGGCATTTTATCTAATTACAGCATTAAATAGTAACATTTGGAGGTCAGGGATGTGTCACTGTCTGTCAATACGTGTTTTTAAAAATAAAAAAAAAGCTCCGCTAGGCTTGATCTACTGTCTACGCAGGTGAGTTCTAGTTCTGAGCATGACATTATGTTTGGTGGTTTACATTCCTGAAATCAGTGATGATACCTAAGGCACAGTGGCAGTTCGTTACCTACTTACCAGGTAAAGTTTGCACACAGGTTTTGTAAGCATGGTGTTCAAAAAAAAAAAAAAAAAAAAAAAAAAAAAAACGAAAAAAAACAAACAAAAACAACAACAACAACAAAAAAAACTGGTATCATGAAAACCAGGAGGCATAATATAAAAATGAGAATCTCTTGCTGTTCTTAAGGAAGCCCGAGAAATCGGAGACCTACCAGGGAGATCTCAGTGGCGGGGGTGAGGCAGGACCAGTCGCCATGCCTTGTCATCTTTATTTATATGTCGCTATCTCAACTTCATTTAGGTCATCTGCCACAATTGCAAGACTTGGTTTTGAGGTATACGCTACTACTTCTTGGTTTCTTTTGCTGGCCTGTTATAGTGAATATTCCACCCAGTACTTCTCTTTTAAATGGTTGGAAAAATACTCAGAGTTATAGAATATATGTATTGGATCATAAAGCAATCCACCTAGCTCTCTAATGCCGGAAAAATTTTCTAGCTTTGTCTTACATGCTGGATTCCTGCTGTGTCTGTGTGGGGCACTGTGTGATGCCCAGGATTCACCAGAAAACAACAGAAAACAACAAAAATAGTAAAAGCACAGCCATTGCTGTCACGTGCCCTACAATCACAACAGTTGACATGCCAACATCTCTTCAAGTAATATGGTCAGTAATTCTACTATTTTCTTTAAATAATAAATACTTGCACTTTTGTTTACTTGTTTCTCAGACAATGAATTGATTCTTGTCCTAGCACACTAGTGCATGGTGGCCAAGCCCATAATCACCTAATCTCCTGCAGGAGTGCCCAATTTTAATGGCCCCTTCGTTCTCTTACTGATTTCCATCTTGCTGCAAACATGCTTTGCGGGCCAGGCATGGTGGCTCACGCCTGTAATCCCAGCACTTTGGGAGGCTGAGGCAGGTGGATCACAAGATCAGGAGTTCAAGACCAGCCTGGCCAACATGGTGAAATCCTGTCTTTACTAAAAGTACAAAAATTAGCCAGGCATGGTGGCGGGCACCTATAATCCCAGCTATTCAGGAGGCTGAGGCATAGAATTGCTTGAAAGGGGCAGGCGGAGGTTGCAGTGAGCTGAGATCACACAAATGCAGTCCAGCCAGGGCAACACAGTGAGACTCTGTCTCAAAAAATGCTTTGCACGTCCTAATGGACAGTCAGATCTCTGCACTTGCTCCTCCAACAACTGCCTCCTCATCTACTTAACTACATCTGAGGCTCTCTTTGTCCATTTCAACTCTGTCCTTTCTGAGTGACAGTAATCAGAGCTGCACAGAAAATTCTGGAGTGTGTCACAGTGCAGCTGTACCACCAGGCCTGGGTGATGTTTTACACCAGCGACTGCCGCATGTCTTACTCAGCGTCAGGGTCTGGCTGACTTTGAGGACTGCAGCCTCTAGCAGGGCGGGGCTCAGAAGCACCACCTAGAGCGGTTTATATATTTTGTCTGAGAAAAATAATACTTTTTGTTGTTTTGCTACTGTGTTTATTTGACATTTCTATATTAAATGTTGAAATATTAGGCACCGTCTCTCCTAACCCATCTTCTTCCTGAACCGGAATCTGCTTTCTGCTTCTCTGATTAATTAGCTACTTCTAGTACATAGGTTACATAAGTACCGCACAAAATTTAAATGTCAGTAGAAAAAACAAGAGTTCTAAAAATCTAACCACTTTCCATGGTTGGTTACTTCTTATACATGTCTGGAGAGGGATCCTTACATCGAAATTGAATTCCCACTCCCCATCTATGCCAGGCTAGATGGTTTCATGAATGTCAGTGAGGAAACTTTGCCAGTACAGTTACCAAATAGAGTAACATAAAAAAAAAAAAAAAAAAAAAAAAAAAAAAAAAAAAAAAAACTTAGTACATACTTGTACTAGGAGTTAAACAAAGAATCACCATAATCTGTAGGTTGAGCTCCCTTCGAGTCTTAAATGATACTCAGAGAAGAGAAGCTCAGCAATGCAAGCTTCCTGCCTGAAACACATGCCAATTTCTGCATGCTTCATTCATTATGCAGCATGGACTGGCTTCCACCCCATAATAAGAGTAAGTCCTTCAGTGTGACACTGGCATTATAAAAACAGACACTCCTGGCCTTAGAAAATGCTGTGTGCTCTAAATGTATTCAGATAAAGGGGCTCCAGGTTACCCACTGCCTGGAGGTGGTAATGGACTACAAAGTTTACTGAGTCACCCTGTTCACTGTAAAGACTTCTGCAAGAAAAAAATCAATGCATTGAAAATGCCTTATAAATACAGTAAGCATTATTAATTATTTAATCTTCAGGATTTTATTATACAAAGGACTTTCTTAAAAGGAGTATTTCCTGTATGTAAGAGGAGAAAGTAAGACAAAATATGCATTTATACAACACGGGACACGTAGAAGGCACCAAATAAATACATGATCCTAAGAGTCATTCTTCTTTGCATTTTTAGAGACAGAGTCTTGCTCTGTCACCCAGACTGGAGTGCAGTGGATGGATTACAGCTTACTGATTGAACTCCTGGGCTCAAGCAATCCTCCAGATCAGCCTCCCAGATAGCTAGGACTATAGCTGCTTGCCACCATGCCTGGTTAATTTATTATTATTATTTTTGTAGACACAGGGTTTCATTATGTTGCCCAGGCTTGTCTCGAAATCCTGACCTCAGGAGATCCTCTTGCCTTGGCCTCACAAAGTACTGTGATTATAGGCATGAGCCTCTGTGTTCAGTCCCTAACAATTATATTTATCAAATATTTTATACAGTAAATAATGCACATTAATTAGGGTCATCAAAACTTACTCCTAAACTATTTCCGTGCATTTTTTTTTTTTTTTTTTTTTGAGACGGAGTTTCACTCTTGTTGCCCAGGCTGGAGTGCAATGGCGCGATCTCGGCTCACCGCAACCTCCGCCTCCTGGGTTCAGGCAATTCTCCTGTCTCAGCCTTCTGAGTAGCTGGGATTACAGGCACGCACCACCATGCCCAGCTAACTTTTTTTTGTATTTTTAGTAGAGACGGGGTTTCACCATGTTGACCAGGATGGTCTCGATCTCTTGACCTCGTGATCCACCCGCCTCGGCCTCCCAAAGTGCTGGGATTACAGGCTTGAGCTACCACGCCCGGCTATTTCCGTGCATTTTTATCCCTCTCTCCATTTTGATGAAAATATACAATAAAGAGGAACAGTAGATAGATGTGTGATAAAAACGCACATAATTCGCTCAAGGAAAGCAGTGCATGGAAAGATGACATGTAAGCCAGCCATCTTATTTTTAATCCCTCACTCCTTCAAAAGTTTAAAGACAGCAACAGGTGGGTGTTGAACAAAGAGATCACATGGACACAGGGAGGGGAGCATCACACTCTGGGGTCAGTTGTGGGGGAGCTAATGGAGTAACAGCAGGGGGTAGGGAGGGTGGGGAGGGATAACGTGGCGAGAAATGCCAAACATAGATGATGGGGAATGGAGGCAGCAAACCACCTTGCCATGTATGTACCTATGCAACAACCCTGCATGATCTGCACATGTATCCCAGAACGTAAAGTACAATTTTTAAAAATCAGGTGTTTTTAACTCCCTCCTAAAAAAGATAGCAACAAACACAAAACTTGTTCAAAACAACCAGAATTGAATGGTCCTTGCAAAAATCGAAGTAAAGTGTAAAATAGTTGAACCTTTCCACACTCCCAGTTTGGGGGAGTCCTAGGTATAGGACCCACTTCTACTACTGATTAGTAATAGTAACTAACGCCCATGTAGTTGGAGTTTGCTGGGATTTTGCATCTGAGAACTGAAGTTGGGATCCTCACTTGGCTACTAATCAGCTGTGTGGCTCTGGCCAGGTGACCTATCCCAGGCCCAGTGTTTTACCCTGTACACGGAGAAGGCATCACCCACCACAGCACTGCCACCGGTGTGCAAGCTGATCTATCTGAAGCATCTAGCACAGTGTCTGGGACTTGCTAAAATTTACAGCTACAATGATGATGATGGTCCTAAGAAAGCTGTCAGAAAGCCCTCCAGGGAAACCCGCTGCTGTGGGCTCAGTGTCTGTGAACTACCCAAATTCCTAATCTCCAGTGTGGCTGTATATGGAGTTGGGGTCTCTAGGGTAGTAAATGAGGGTAAGTGACATCACAAGGGTGAGGCGCTAGCCCAGTGGAGCTGGTGCCCTCACAAAACAGAAAGAGATACCCCAGAGATGTCTCTCTCTCCACCACGTGAGAATGCAGCAAGATGTCCATCTGCAAGCCAGGAAGAGAGAGCCCTCACCTGAAGATGACCCTGTTCACAATTTGGTCTTAAACGTCTAGCTTCTAAAACTGTAAGAAAATAAATGTCTATTTTTTAAGCTACCCAGTCTGTGATGTTTTGTTACAGCAGTCCGAGTGGACAAATACACCTGCCAGCTCACTAAACGTGAGTGAATTGCTTTGTCTCTTTGGGTCTCAGCTTCTTCTGGACATGGGGAGATGGATGACTCAGAAAGCCCTGAAAGCGTGAACCTCCTGCCATTTTGTGATAAGACATGAAGGGCCTCCACCTCCTCTTCTTTCCCCAGCTGCCTGCATGGCATTCTGTCCTTCCCAACAGGGAATCCCACCACATTTGCCAATTAGCGCTCTAACCCTGTTTGTGTGTCTCCACTGCTCTGTGCCCTGGACCCCATTCATTAGAATGTCATTCATTAGGGATCAGAGGTTCTGAGGACACAGAGCCCAGCATCATTAGTACTAATTGAAGCCTGGATTCCTAACCTGCAGCAGAATGCTGGCCTTTTTCAGCTCAGTCCGAGGCATCACAGCTGACAAAAGGCCCTTTTTGGGTCCCGGCGCCACAATTCACAAAGGGCCTGGGTCTATTGACATTAGTCAGCCGAGTGTGGGGCTGTCCGTGAGGGGCCAGGGAGACAGCTGCTGCATGGTGCATGCACCCGCGGTTTAAATCACCCTTGCCTGTCTAAACAAGGCTTCTGCATTCTTCACAGGGATGCCGACAGTGCTCTTTGCCCCCCAAGAATTACCTGGAAGTTGGGGTTTGGGTTGGGATACGGTAGCCAGGCGGAGCGCGAGTTCTCCTGGTACTTGAAGGGCCCGGCGAAGGCCTGTGCAATGGCGCTCAGGTTGAAGACACACACAGCTGAGGCCGCGATGCTGTTCCTGGGAGCGCAGGGAGAGAGAGGAGAAGGCAGTCAGAGAGCTCGGAAGCACCTGCTGCCCTCCCCCTAGGAAGCAGGCAGCAGCTGTGACCTGGATCAGTTTCCAGAGGTCTCAGGGCCACAGTCTTTTAAACATCCCAAAGGATTTAAGTCAGAGTGTGAATGCGGCTCCCCTGTAGAGGAGCAAACATCTTGGTAAAGAAACCAGGTTAGTTAGCATTTCCCACACTTGTAATCCTGCCAGCCAGGATTAATTCACTCAGCCGCAAAAGGGGCAAGAGGGATTCTGAAGAGCTATCTGCTTCACCTTTCAAATTCTGGACGAAAAAGACTTCCTCCTCCAGCGGATGGCATCTCATCAGCCTTAAGCAGTTCCCTTCCTGACCTGCTTATCTGGTCACTTTGCCTGGTAGCAGGCAAGTTGTTTTGTTTTGCCGTGTGTGTGTGTGTGTGTGTGTGTGTGTGTGTGTGTGTGTGTGTGTGTTTAACCAAGATATTTGTCATCCTTTAAAAAAAAATTAACTCAAAGTAGTTTACAAAAAGTGACTGACTCATTGTATTTTCTTTTAATATAAAATGGAGTTTAAATTCAAAGGGTCAAAGAGAAAACTTTGACATAGCACTGACATGTGAAATCCTGAAGCCATAATTTAGAATTCAGGCTTTGAGAGAGTGATAAACAGGAGCCCTCAGAAGGTCAGTGCCCTCTGACTAAGTATGGAAACAGCAACATTATCTTGGTTAAGTAAATCTAAATTTTGAGCTCAGCATGGGTTCTCAAAGGGGAAGAGAAGATAAAGAAAGAAAGCTTACATGGATTTTCCCTTGCTCTGAGACAATATCACATGCATTTCTCATCAATTATTTTTTTCCTGTATCAGAGGAAAAGTATAACAAAATCCAAACCTGAAAGCCTTACCTTAGATTTGTTTTATTTAATAATTACTGAATAGGAACTATGCCCTATTCTCAGGACTTCACTAATTCCAATTCATTTAATCCTCAAAAGGTGAAGGAAATTTACAGGTAAGAAAAACAAGGCACAGTGAAGACAAGACCCTTCCTCAAAGTTAGCCAGCTGCTAAATGGGGAAGCTGGACTTGAACCCCAGGCTAACTCCAAATGCCAGGATTTTCAATCCTTTGAACTATCTCTGGGTGAAGCAGACAGGGTTCTACTGCAGGGGAGCAAAGAGTAAACACATCCTTATGGAAGGGTATGGCCTTGAGGGTAGAGATGCATTTTCTTCAGAAGTCCAGCACCAAGGACAAGGAACATCACAATGCATACATGACCCCGTTCTGGAAAGTAAAGGTGTGGACACTGGCTATGGGTGTATTCACTTTGCTCTATTATCCTTACAGAGAATGGGAGAAGTTAAAACACAGTTCAGGGAAGAGCTGGCCTTTGAACATGTGAGTAGACTTTAGTAAGAACAGGAAAACAAATATGCTGGAGTAAGAGTGGCTAGACACAGGACGATCCCATCCAGCAACCAGAGAGGTATGCCTTGGGCCAGGTACAGAGGCAGGCAAATGGGGGATATTAATAATAATAATAATAATATCTCCCTGAGCCCACTGCTAAGCACCTGATAGGGATCGTTTAATCTCATAGAGAACCTATAGATCCTGAGAAGACCCTGACTTACAATAAGAAAACAGCAGCACAGAGAGTTTACTTAGCCCAAGTCACATGCTGCAGGGAAATAAAGCAGGATTTGTACCTGCTTTGCATGAGGCCCCGGGTTGCCAGGTGGCTACCAGGTAAAGGAAGAACCTAATCTTCCTGCTGGCTTAATGTTCTTCTGTTTACTACACCCTGCTCTGAATGGTCTGAACTGGGCTCTGGTTCACCCAGACTCTCCTGGATGTCTCAGTAGCTGCGAGGCTGACCATCCTTTAATAGTGCTGTGGGAACCCTTCCTCTTGTCCCAGTCCCATCCCCTCGTGAGCACAATTGGTATGGTACAAGCACACCTCATGGCTGCCCCTCCACCCTTTCACTTGCTATGCTCTGAGACAGAGAGTAGGCTTGTGTGACTCCACTGTGCCCTTCCCTCTGCCCTGCCCCTCCTCCTAGGATGGGACTGCCTACAGGAAGTACATATTCACTCACTTCTCCGGGGTCTCCAGACTCGCGGGCAGGTGAAACCAACCCAGGTCTAGATCACGACCTTGAGAAGGAGTAAGCTTAAAGCTGGAATCAGCATGAACAAGCTCACTTAGACACCAGACCTGCAGCCACCTGTTCCAACCTGGCTTCTATCAGCAATCAAGGTAATAATGTCAAAGAGCAATAAAAATCCCACCTCCTACTGCAACCATACTACCTGTATATCCATATCTATATATATTAATACTTTACTACAATCTCTACAGTTTACTATCTATCCTATAAAAAACTAATGGTAGCCACCATTTTTAGATATCTAGAAAAGAAGCCAAATCTTTAGAGACTCCATTGTAGTAGCACATCATTTCCTGCAGGCCAACCCATGCTCAAGAGATTGAGAAAACTACACAGTAGTGCTAGGGACAGAAATAGTCAGAACAGTTACCTTTTCCCCCTTCCCCTAGTGCTGGGAAATCTTGATGAATGTACTGAGGCAAAGCAACATTCTGAGCCCTGAAGCTCAGCCTAGTTTTGGACAGCCCTTTAATTCAGAGGTAGGAAGTAACTGACAACCTCCCATCCTTATTTTCTCCCCATTTGAAGCAAACTTTGTCAAGAATGTGGTTATTTTTTTGAGAACATAAATGCTGATACATGAAAAGGAGGTAGAAAATATTGTGAAATTTGAGATGAGCATATTAGAAATGCATTCCCAAGATCTAACGCAAGTAAGTATTCCAGAGAGAAAGGAGAGATGTGGTGCTTCTCTCTACAGTACAGATTCCATACACTGGGTGACTTCTGACATGATGGGAATTTGCAACACTAAACAAATAGTCTGAAATAGCTGAAACTTATTTTTGCAACTATCTAAATTGACCATGCACCATCTTGGAATGGTTCAGGCATGGTACTTTTATAAACTTCTGAAATTGCTGTTTTGTTTTGTTTTGCCCCCGAGTCAGGGGAATGAACAGCTAAGTAAGCAACACTCTCCTTGTGCATAAAACTGATGTCAGCTGAGCAACTGCACATTTATCTTCTGCGAACTACACTAGTTTTTAAATAAGGTTTTGGAAAGTAAATCAACTTTAGAAACTGCAATTGATTTTTTAAAGAAATTTATCAAAGACGAAAAATAACCTCTGGGTTGAGGACCAGATTTACGAAAATAAAGATGGCCATGGTGGAGTAAGGGTAGGTGTGGAGCCATCCATAATAGCCTAATTTTTCTAACCTCATGTCAGAAAGAAGACTCTTTGGGGGTAAAAGTTGTTATTAAGCAAATATTAACACAATTTCAGCAGTGGAGAGAGCAGGAAGAGAAGGCTAATATGAAAATGAGAGGCAGGTAAAGTGGCTTTTTAGAAATGCCATTCATGGGCAGGCATCTGATGACCAAGAGATGAAAAAGTAAATTAAAATACTAAGGAAGCAGAGAAGACAACACAGGGTGACCAGTTGTCCTGGTTCACCCAGGAATAAGAGGTTTCCTTAGCTACAGGGCTGTCATCAACACTAAAACTGGGATAATCTCAGGCAATTCAGGGCTGTTGGTCATCCTACCTCATTTATCAGCACTTCCAACCCATCCCGATCTGTATCCTTTACTTTGGATACAAATATTTGGCTTTTGCTAAAAGTCCTAAGTCACCAAATGAGGTTTCAAAGGTAATCCAAATCAGAACCCATAGTGTAGAACCCGCAGCAGGACAGCCATGTGCAGGAAAGTGGTGATCAGAATCTCAATGTGATCCTTGACTCCTGGGTTTCACATGTGCTCCTGTTGAGTCTTACACAGCATACCAGCTAAGGATGGGAAATAAACCTGGGGACATGTGATACTCCACTAGACTAAGAGTGACAGAGATGAGAAAACCTCATAAGCTTAAACCAGCCAAAATAATGTTCATTCTAAAGTTAGGAGTAACTCCCCATCCCACTCCCAACCAAAAAATACTATAATTTTCCCAAACATATTTTAAAAGTATAATTGACATTTACAAAATGTGTGCTCAAGTTAGCCATCTTCTAGATTAATAGTGTAAAATATAGCTATAGAAAATGTGTGTTTCAAATATGAGCAAGGTTCAAGCAAGAATCCTACTATCTCAAGGATTTCAGACTGCAGACAACACTATTTTCATTATACGCAAATGTATGACTTTCATATAGAAAAAATACACATACAATATGTATCAGTATTTCAGAAAGTGCCCAGAACAAAATGGCAAATCAGGAAGGAGCAATTTATAATGGAGTAATTTGGTGTCACTGTATCCTAAAGATAGATACAAACTTTCTTGATTTGCTTTATTTTTCCTAAAGCCAGTCTTTCAAATCACGTATCTTTGTCTAACAGGAAGTTCACTGAAAAGTCCTTTTGTTTTGTCTGTTAGTCCAGTAAAATAAGAAAGATTTTCTTTAAAGCAACTTTAAAACCTCAGAGGTCAAAGAACAGAAGACTTATTCAGAATGAGTAAGAGAGAAGGGAGAGAAATTATTTCAAGTTACATACACATTGGTGGTAAAGATGCCGTAGATCAAATCCAGCTCAGGCAGGAAGAAAGTGCTCTGCAATTCATTGTAGTAAAAGGGGACTTCCCCAGGACGGGAGCAGTTGAGGCGAGCCTTCATGAACGTGGTCCAGGTATCCTCCAGCAAGAAGCGCCCTCCAATATCATTCTTGCAGACCCGGGCAGCTCTGGAGAACACTGTTTTCCCACAGTCATGCTCTACGGCATTTTCTCGGAAAAAGAAGTAGGTAAAATTTCCAATGTCATAAGATGACACAAAGTTTGGTTCTGGAAACAACAGAAAAGAGGAAATAATCTCAACACCATGTCACTTCTTTTTGGTCTTGAGTGCTCAGTATTTCATCCAAAGAGATATGGTTTTGTTTAGATAACACCTGGTTCCTGTAGAACAACTCGGAGGCCCTGTGAGCAGCTTGATGAGCTACACTGTTGGGAAACTCAGTGTCATACACAGATTCTTAATAACGGAAAGTCACTGGTGTGACTGCACATTCAAGTATCCTGGGCTAAATTAGGATTCAAATTAATATGACGTTAAAACAATCAGAAATTGACACCAAAGATTTGCAGTACATTTTAGAGCAATATGTATTACTTTATTTGCAAATTCTTACATAACCTTCAGAAAGAGAGGTAGGAAATATGTTTAAAAAGATGAAATGTAATTCAGAATATAGGAGTCTACAGTCCTATATGTGTGTAAGACAACAAAATTATTTGACTTAACTTACGTACATTCCTGTGACTTTGACATAATTTATATGCTTTCACTAAGGACTTTGAAACTGTTTTTCATTGCTTGGAATGAAAATAAAAACTAAAACTGTAAGGTGTGTCTGGAATTAGCTTTAGCAGTTCCTGTTACTATGGTGACCATGTAGCGGTGAAAAACAACTCTTATTTTCTTATTTCTGGGGTTGCTGGGGAATGTATTTAGAGGAGGAAAGAGTATTGAGATGGAGACATTGCTTTGCAGTTTTCTGGTCTCATAATTAGCTTTAAAATGGGGATTCAGAAATGACAAAATTATGGCAAAGCCTTTAATCACCAAGCTCATTAGGAATTTAGGAAATATACATTATCAACCGAATTATATTGCATTTGGAGTTTTGGCATAATAACAAATTATATTGCATTTGAAGTTTTTCCTAACTTCCTAGTTTGAAACCAGTGACAATAGAGATGGTACACTTTCAGATACACATACTCCCTAATATTTGCTTTTAAACCTCTAATCACAAGGTTTTATTCTTACTCATTTCTCTATTTCTTAATGCTATTCATTCAATCAGCAAGCATCTGAATTTTATGGTGCAAATTAGGATGATTATGGCAGTAACCTTTGGTGTTCAAAATTAATGCAAAGATACCGACAACAAGTATATTCACAAAGATACATTTCTAGGGACAATTAGTTTGCTGGGGCAATTCGATTGGCCTTGTGCTTTTGCAGATCCAATTGAATTGCAATAATAACATGCCATTGGCAGGACAACTGAAAATCTGGCCACAAGATAAGCCATTAATGTTAAGAGTAAGACACACAAACAAAATCATCTAAGGTCTGAAATGAGGACTTCAGACATTCCCACAGGGTTGGCACTGACCACTCTGTTATTCTGTCCAGGGAGACTATTGCCAATTTTCAATCAATACCTATATTCAATATTTTCACAAAATATTTTAATTTAATCCAACTTTACATTTTAAAAAATGTAACATATACTCTAAATGGTTTATGTATGATACTTTTCCCTTCAGTACCATTCATTCGTAAGTCATTGAAGTATATTAAGTAATACATTGAGGTTTTGAAAAAACTGATTTTAATTTATAAACTGTCAAACATATTCTCAAGTAACTATTGCTTTCACCCTGAATGACTATTAAAAAACTTGAATTGCAAAACATTGTAAAAGACGGAAGTTAGCTATCTTTACTGTAATAGTACACTTTAATATCCTGGAGGGATGCTCACAAAAACAGCAGATTACATATTCGTAACTTGTGTTTTTGGAAAGTAAGGAAAATATTGAAGGGGTGGTTAAAGAATGATTTGATGAAGCAGACCCCAAAAGCAAAAATATGGAGCAATTCCAAAACCATGTCTAAAGAAAATAATCACTGGCATGTCTAATTCTGAAGACAATGGCTAAATTATCTTGGAAAGATATCCTGCATCCTGGCTAAGCAAAAATAGTGTTTGAGAATTATACTAAAAACAAACAACAGCAACAAAAGCAGCAACAAGAAACCCTACCTAAAATGGGAAATCAAAGACAGAAAGTATAAGGGTCCAGGTGTGTCTAGCCTGGGACTTAGGTTACCAGCAACTGTATGTGAGGTTTGACGCAGAGTCCACCAAGACTTACCAAACACACTGACTACTACCCACTTCTGCTATTAACTTGGGGACAAATGGCATGAAAACTCCATAGCAAATAGCTCCAGTTTCTCAGAAGTCCTGAGCAGGAAAACAAGAAAATACAAAGGAAAAAAAAAGATCTTCCATAGTTTCCAGCTTAAGGTTGAGTTTGTAATAAAAACAGTTGCGATCTGCAGAATGCAAACTCTTGTGCCAAGATCTGCGCTTGGTGCTTTACATGCCCGTTGAACTCACAAGATTCACAGCGCTAGGTGCTGTGCTATTCTTCCCATTTCATAGATGAGAATACTAAAGCCCAGGGATTTAATAACTTGTCCAAATTCACATAACTAGCAATGGGGGAGGAGATGGAAAGTCCTCAATCCATTAGACCAGGAGTCACCAACTCCCGGGACAGGGACCAGTATCAGTCTATGGCCTGCTAGGAGCCAGGCCACACAGCCGGGGGTGAGCAGTAGGCAAACGAGTGTTACCTCCTGAGCTCTGCTTCCTTCAGATCAGCAGCAGCATTAAATTCCCATAGGAGCTGGAACCCTACTGTGAACTGTGCATGCGAGGGATCTAAGTTGTGCACGTCTTACGAGAATCTAATGGCTGATGATCTGAGGCGGAACAGTTTTATCCCAAAACCATCCCTCTACCCCCCAGCCCAAGTTGATGGAAAACTTATCTTCCGTGAAACTGGTCCTTGGTGCCAAAATGTTTGGGGACCACTGCATTACGCTATACTGAAAAATAGTGGTTACAAAAATTAAAAAAAAAAAAAAAAACAATCAGTTAAATGCTAGCAATATTCAATAGGATTTGATTTTCTGCTTTAGAAAAACAATGGCAAGCTCTTAGCTGGACAGCCATCTTTCCACGGAGAGTAATAAGCAGGTTTACTTAGAAACAAGGTAATGGAGGTTTCAGAACCAACTAGAGAGACAATAAATGATCAGAGGAAACTTTAAACCACAGATATCAGGGACATCAGGAATGACACAGAAAAAAGAAAAAGTGGAAGGAAGAAGAAACAACTTAAGGACTTACTAAACAAGAACATTGTCAGAAAGTGTTTGGCCCAACTCCAAAGGGTGTTTCAAGGGGGGGGCGGCACCATAGCCCCAGAAAGCCAATAAATGACTCTTGGGAGGTCATGCCGTGCCCTTAGTCTGCTGGAGCAAACCATGTCCACTTTTGCAGATAAGCAGAAGACTGAGTAATAGTAGGCAGATTGAAGCAGTTTCCTCTTTCCGCCGAGAACCTCCACCATATCTCCAAACCACCCTGAACCAATGTTATAAGATCACAACATGCGTTTTAGATAGAAATGCCGGAACACATGCTTTCCCTTTGGTTTGCAAAAACAAGAGAAGAATTTGTATTCTGTGTGGAGTGGGTGCTGTTCTCCGATTCCCCACGCAGTGCAGGTCTTGTTGGTCATGGAGTGAGAGAGCGTTTGGAGACACAGGCTGTGACCCTACACTGATCCTTCAGGAGGAGGCCGGGCCCTGACTGCGTGACCTGCCATTAACTAGGGAAATGCATTTCCTTGAAAAGTAGAGCTTCTTGAAATCCGGCTAGCATCCTGTTCCTTTCCAAAGACAATAAAAAAGTGGGAATAACTGTAAAACAGTCAGTCAAATAGCTTTTATATTTATTGATAAAAATTTGGAAGTAGGAGACATTAGAGTCTTGCCAGGCAGGATGGTAGGATGCATGTTGTTTTCCTTCCATTCTTCAAGTTCTGTATTTTCTCAAAATGCAATTCACCACAAACTAGTATCTGTCACTCCTGAGTGAACTGAACAAGCAAGAGGAGAATCAGGCATTTTCTTCTTGTCTACAACAGATATGAGTGCATGAAAGAGAGATCTGAGGTGTGCTGCTAACTAAATCAGAGTACCAACAGGCACGTCAGCTGCTATGTAAAAATATATGCATGGAGAAACTGTTTTTTCTAATGTTTGTAAAACATACTGAGTTATGTTAATACAATGTCATACAAGATACATCATGTTAATAAGAATTATTCTTCTTGATATAGAAACTTTCATTTTGCATGTTTACTTACATAATAGTGACCATACGGATAGCAGTACTGAGAAGTGACTCACCATATATGTAATTACAAGTGATGCGAAGAAAAGCATCCAAAATTTTGAGATTTTGATCACACAAAACCAAATACTAAGCATCCAAATAAAGCCTTCCATTCTATATTCTTTCTATTCCAATGCCCAAATCATAAATATGGGGGTACACCATGTTCAAATGTATGGATCTGATCATTGAGCAGATGGTTGATATAAAAAAATCAATGACACAGAAAAAAGAAAAAGTGGGAGGAAGAAGAAACAACTTAAGGACTTATTAAACAAGAACACTGTTGGAAAGTGTTTGGCCCAACTCCAGAGGGTGTTTTGGGGCAGGGGCACCTTTTCTTTCTCTCTCTGTCATTTCTGCATTCTTGAATAAAAAAATTGTCTACAGTGGGAATGAATATTAAAGCCACAAAGGAATCCTAACTCTACAAAAATCTTACTAGAATCAAAGTCTATTATAAATTATTTTGCAGTCAAAAGCCACCTTGTGAGACACTTGCCAAAGTCATGCTGGAAAATGAGTGTACGTGATGCCTGTGGCTCTGCCCCGGGTGGACCATTGACATCTGATATGTTCTGTTATTGCATTTGACAATCGGGCCTAGTTTGCAAAGCTGTAAAAATTAAATGGGCTGATACACAGGAGGATGCCAATAAATGGTGGCTATTATGATTGTTTCATGATTTACTCTCAATGTCCCTCGGAATAATTTCTATTGAACAGAAATTCACATAATGATAATGAACGATCAAGTATACATATGTCAAGCTTAAAGGTGACCAGAATTTTAGGA